TTGACAACCTCAATCTTCTCTCCATTTATTGTGATGCTGCTCATTGGTCCAGTTGTGAGGATTTTTGTTTTCTTTATATTGATACGTAATCCATACTGCAGACTATATTCTTCAACCTTCATCAGTAAACTGATGAAGGTTTCCACACAGAAATAGTATATTATATAGAAGTATTATATTGCAAATCTCTTATGAAATATTATTAAATTGTTAGCTTCTAATCTGTGTGGAATGGAGAATGATGAAAACCAATGAATGAGCAGAATAAATAAATTTAATGTCGGTGTCAAAAATATTCTACTTGGCCAAGCCTACTTTTAGTATCTTGTAGTATTTGAGCTGGAGATGTTTTCTAAAATATTAAAATGATCACATTCAAGAAAAATATTCTTTGTCCAAATTTCATTTCCATTTTAAGTCCCTCATCAGGTTAAGAAGTTTAATATACTCATTCTAAAATATTAAAGGAAAATCCTGATCTCTTTGTAGAGACTTTTCAAGAAATGAAATAAATATCTAGATATAAGAGCATATTTCTTAACTGAAATGAAGGAAAATACATGATAGAAAAAAAATAATTTTTTAAAAATAGAGCTGCTATCATTTTTAATCTTAGACTAAATTTTTTTAAACATTACTACTTCAAATTGGTAGCAAAGTTACAGAAAATAAGTTTTTACAGGTTTTCAAGTAAACAAATCCATAATTTCTAGTGTGTGGGGAAACACTCCAATAGACAGTGTACCCTCCAGTGGGCAAGCATTCATGGAAAATATAAAGAGGTTTAGTTGGATTTTCTACTCAGTTAAATCAATCCAACAACTAATAAAATGATGGCTCTAAAAAAACCTCATAATAGTTCATACTACTTTAATCACCTGTATCTATGTTAGAAAAAGCAAAGGTTACCAAAAAATAGTAATTTAGATCTTTCGGTAGAAGAATGTGAAAAAATAAAATTATCTGCTTTATCTTTCCTTAAAAAACAAAGTGCTACCAGATTCTTATTTCCTTAATTTATAAAAGAATAAGAGATAAATTGAATAAATCAGTTATAAAGATGCATAATTAAAAAGATCAAGTATCCTTCATATCACAAGCTGCCAAATGCTAGGCACTAATATTTTAAAACAACATCCAAAAAAATTATGGTTCCTTAGTGAGAACTGTAGCAGAAAAGCAGTATGTTCATTACGTTTTTCAGGAAAACAACTTACATTATCACCTGGTAATATTTAGTGTTACTAGTCTCATGAGGCTATGTGGTCACTACACAGAAATATAAACACATTGAGAATAAAATTAAGAGACTACCTAAAAAAGCCCTTTTTCTATAAGGTTAATGTTTCAGGATTTAAATGATGTAATACAAGCAAAGACTAGATTAAAAGTATCCCATGCTGGTCTACATTTTAAATTGCTCCTATTAACTTTTCATAAGTTAATAAGTATGTTAGTGACATTTACAAGAGAATATAAAACGTTTTTAGTACATAAATATAGAAATCATGTTTGAAGATGCACATTTCCCAAAATGCATCAGTTTTTGAAAATACATACTCCAGGGAAAACTAGTATATCTAAGACTACCTAAGGTCTTGAACTAGGCTATGAGACTAGCAATTAAAGGGTAACAGTGACATCTAGTGGGCATTCCAAATAGATACCACACATGAATTACGAGCTTTGGTGGCACAATGATTAAGGCATTTATTCAGCTGCCTATCGAAAGGTCTGCAGTTTGAACCCACCAGCTGCTCAGCAGGAGAAAGATGAGGCAGTCTGCTTCCGTAAAGATTTTCAGCCTTGGAAATCCTATGGGGGCAGTTCTACTATGTCCTATAGTGTTGTTATGAGTTGGAATCCACTTGATGGTAGTGAGTTTGCTTATCTTGAATTGCAACACTGTATTTCTAGTATTTCACATATCTCAACCTGCCTGTGGACTCAGAGGACAAATTTTTAGTTATACACCAGAGAAAGCCAACTCTATACTCAAAAGACTTCTCAGTGAGTCATACAATCACTTGATAAATATAAAATGTTTAACAATTAAGGTATGCTATTGTTTTTAGGTGTTGTAGAGTCCGTTATGACTCATAGCTACCTAGGTACAACAGAACAAAACACTACCCCATCCTGCACCATTCTCCAAACTGTTGCTATGTTTGAGCCAACAGTTGGGAGAACAGTGCAGGATGTGGTAATGTTTGCAGCCACTGTGTCAATCTATCTCATTAAGGGTCTTCCTCTTTTTTGCTGACCCTCTAACTTTACCAAACATGACTTCCTTCTCCAGGAACTGCTCCCTCCCGAAAACATGTCCAAAGTACGTGAGAAGAAATTTTGAAATCCTTCTAAGGAGCATTCTGGCTGTACTTCTCCCAAGACAGATTTGTTCTTCTGGCAGTACATGGTATACTCAATTTTTTTCTTCACCAACACCATAATTCAAAGGCATCAATTTTTCAGTCTTCCTTATTCACTGTCCAGCTTTCACATGCATAAGAGGTGAATGAAAAGACCATGGCTAATTAAGGTATGAATCAAAAACTCACTGTCATCAAATCAATGCCAACTCACAGTAACCCCCGCTTTGGATTTTTGAGGAAGTAAATCTTTATGGAAATAGATTGCCCAGTCCTCCTTCCTGAAGTGGCTGGTAGGTTTGAACCACCAACCTTCTGGTTAGCAGTCAGATGCCTCAGGCACTACACCACCAGAGCTCCTTAATTAAGGTATAAGAAGTATATATCTCATGTCTCTAGAGAACTAAACACTTAACAAATATAAGACTAAAAGAAAGTCTATCAATAGGTCCAAGGGAATAAGATAAGAAAAATAATTTAAAAAGCTTTGAATGAAAAAGCACTGGAATGAATACAGAAAGGCTACAAACAAAACTCACTCATTGCCATCAGGTTGAAACTGACTCACAGATATATCATTAATAAAAATTTTTCAAAAACTGAAATCAGTTCTAAAGAAAAGTTAGAGAAACGTTCTTTAAAAGTAAGAACAGATATTGCCTGGAAAAAGACCAAGTAGTCTTCTCAACAAAAGGATGAACTCAATAAATTCAACCAGTGGTATAAGTTATACAGATTTTTTTTTTAATTTTTCTTAAAAAAAGATACACACACACACACACACACATTAACTTTGTGGACAAAGTTCTTATCTATTCTTATTTGTCAACACAAAACCAAGTTTCATAAAAGAACAATACTACTCTTAATATGAAAACATGATTTTTGTTAAGTATTTTACTGCTAATTTGAGTAAGAAATATAAATTTACATGATGCCCTACAACAAGCAAAACTAATACAAGGTGAGAAAAATAAATACAAACAGAACAAGGACACAGATGGAGAATGACAGGAAAGGTGTATGAAGGAATTTTCTGAAGTGATGTAAATGTTCTGTGTCATAATAGGAGTTCACATAACACAGATGTATGTATTTGTCCAAATTCACCAAATAATATATTTAAGATTTATACAAAATTATATGTAAATTTTATTTTAAGAAAAAAAGAACCTTAAGCAAATACTGGTAACTTTAGTTATTATATCTCATTTTGAAGTGCTTAGAGGTAATGTATACAGATGTTTGCAACTTATTTTGAAATGCATTAAAAAATTAGATGGATAGACATTTGTAGAAAGACAATGACAGATAATCTGTAATAAAGCAAATACAGCAATTTATCAACAACTGTTGAATCTACTCAGTGTGCATATTGGGGTTCACTGTATAATTCTTTTAGCTTTTCTGTATGTCTGAAAATTTCCATTACAAAAAGTTGAGAAGAAACTAAGATGACAATCAGAATTCATAAGAAAAATTTAAAATACCATATAGAAATGTTTTCTTAAATATAAACAATTTTCCTTCTATATATTAATATTGTAATCTGTCTAATGTCAAATATGACTGTCTTCTAAAGAACAAGAGTTAAAGGGTAACATATACTTTTAAAAAGTAAAAAGACATACCCGAATTTCTTGAAGGTTGTGAAAATTATTTCCTACTCTGACCGAGATTTTGCTTGGTGTATAACTTTCATCCGATTTGTAGTCTGCATATATGCATAATGTCTTCACTGTTGTTTTTCTTCTAAAAGCAATAAATTAAAAACAACACACCATTTATCATATGGAAAGGTTATTTCTAAAGCACCTTCCCTTCTGATTTTAATAATAATAGTTTCCTAAAATGAGTATTTGAATCAACGATTTCCATTTCCTTTCCTTTCAGCAATGATGAAAAAGAAGAACATGTAAAAACACAGGTTCAGATACAGTAATATTTTACTTATATTGACACTTCTTATCTAGAATATGGCCAAGAACCAGATGTGAGCAAAGAAAAAACAGTTCGGTCACAATTGGTACATTAGAGTACAAATAACAAAAGGATTTTAGTTCTTTTCATTTTCATCTTAGACAAAGGCAGTATTGAAATACATTTGGTTTTCTTTACTAGTTAATTATTTAATTCCTTACATTAATACTTGAAAATGACTAGCTAAGTAAGGAATTAAATCCAACAGAGAGAAAATATTTTTTATAGAAGACATAACCTATTAATAAATGCAAGAAACCAAACTGTTCTTTAAATGTGTGTGTGTGTGTGTGTGTGTGTGTGTGTGTAGAATACATAATACATATCTTAGGGAAAGAAGCAAAGAAAATTAATCTCAGAAAAAATATAAGTGGCAAAAAACATGAAAAGGTGTTCAATCTCTAACAATCAAAGAAACAAATTAAAACGCATATTAGTTTTTACTATCATGTCAGCAAATATTAAAATGACTGATAATACCCAAATTTGATTAGAAAAAGAAACTGTCATAGCCAGCTAGTAGGTATATAACATTTGATCCACTAATTCAGCTTCAAAGCACGCATTAAAAGATGGTAATAATAAAACTATTCAAAATATAGATGTAGGAAATGTTTACTCTCCTGTAGTTAAATTGCAAAAAAAAAAAAAATAATATACAACCTAAATATTCATCTCAGTAGGGAAAAGTTAAATTATAATATACCCATTGAATGAAATACTATACAACTATTATTTTAAGTGATCATGCAGGTATATCTACAGTAGATCATCTAGCGACCTACAGTAGACAAAAACAAATTTCAAATAGTATATACAGAAGAATAGAGGGGTTAGGAACAACAAAGGGAGACAAACTTATCTGTCAGCTTGTTGTCCTGTGGTAGCTTGTGGGTTGCTATGAGGCTAGAGGCTATGCGACCGTGTTGCAAAATGCCTGCAGGGTTACCCATGGTGGACAGGTTTCAGTGGAGCTTCTGGGCTAAGACAGACTTGTAAGAAGGAAGAAGCCATCCATTTCTCAAACAATTGGCCAGTGAAAACCTTATGAATAGCAGTGAAACACTGTTCAATATAGTGCTGGAAGATGAGCCCATCAGGTCAGAAGGCACTCAAAATTTGACTGGGGAAGAGCTGACCTCCATAGTAAAGAGGACCTTAACAGTATGGACAGACTAAAGCTTTCGGGACCTCCACTGGCTGATGTGGCACAACTCAAAATGAGTGAAAATAGATGCAACATTCATTAATAATTAGAACATGGAATGTACGAAGTATGAATCTAGGAAAATTGGAAGTTGTCAAAAATCGAATGGAATAAACAAAGATCAATATCCTAAATATTAGTGAGCTGAAACGGACTGGTTTTGGCCCTTCTGAATCAGACAACCATAGGATCTATTATGCCAGGAATGACAAATTAAAGAGGAATGGCGTGGCATTCATTGTCACAGAGTTGAAAACCTGTCCTGAAGTACAATGCTGTCATTGATAGGATAATATCCATATGCCTACAAGGAAAACCAGTTAATACTACTACTACTCAAATTTACACACCAACCACCAAAGGCAAAGATGAGGACACTGAAGATTTCTACCAACTTCTACGGTCTGAAATTGACCAAACTTGCAATCAACATGTGTTGATTATCACTGGTGACTGGAATGCAAAAGTTGGAAACAAAGAAGAGTTACCAGTAATTGGAAAACATGGCCTTGGAGATAGAAATAACACTGGAGATCGCATGATAGAATGTTGCAAGACCAACAACTTATTCATTGCCAATACCTTTTTTCAACAACATAAGCAATGACTATACATGTGGACTTCACCAGATGGATACACAGGAATCAGATTGACTACATCTGTGGCGAGAAGCTCAATATCGTCAGCCAAAACAAGGCCAGGAGCTGACTGTGGAACCGATTATCAACTGCTCATATGAAAGTTCAACTTGAAGTTGAAGACAATTAAAACAAGTCCACAGGAGCCAAAATATAACCTTGATAATATCCCTCCTGAATTTAGAGACCATTTAAAGAATAGATTTGAAGCACTGAACACCAGTGACTGAAAACCAGAGGAATTGTGGGATGACTTCAGAACATTATCCATAAAGAAAGCAAGAGGTCATCAAAAAGACAAGAAAGGAAGAAAAGACCAAAATGGATGTCAGAAGAGACTCTGAAATTTGTCCTTGAGTGGAGAGTACCTAAAGTAAATGGAAGAAACGACAAGATAAAAGAGCTGAACAGATTTCAAAGAGCAGCTCAAGCAGACAAAGCCAATTACTATAATGAAACGTGCAAAGAACTGGAGTTAGAAAAACAAAAGGGAAGAACACACACTGGATTTCTCAAGCTCAAAGAACTGAGGAAAAAATTTAAGCCTCGAGTTGCAATATTGAAAGATTCTATGGGCAGAATATTGAATGATACAGGAAGCACCAAAAGAAGATGGAAGGAATACATAGAGTCACTGCACCAAAAAGAATTGTTTGATCTTCATCCATTTCAGGAGGTGGCATATGATCAAGAACTAATGATACTGAAGGAAGAAGTCGAAGCTCCACTGAAGCAACTGCAAAAGAACAAGGCTCCAGGAATTGACGAAATACCCATTGAGAGGTTTCAACAAACAGACGCCCCCACTGGAGGCACACACTCAGTTATGCCAAGAGATTTGGAAGACAGCTACCTGGCCAACTGACTAGAAGAGATCCATATTTGTATTCATTCCAAAGAAAGGTTATCCCACGGAATGTGGAAATTATCTAGTAGTGTAGTGCCTGAGGCATTTAGCTACTAAACAGAAGGCTGGCAGTTCAAACCCACCTGCCACTCCTCGGAAGGAAGATTGGGCAATCTACATCTGTAGTGATACTGCCTCAGAAACCCAAGGAGGGGTCACTATGAGTAGTATCCAACTTGACAGCAATGAGTTTGGTTTTTTTTGGTTTTATCATTAATATCACATCCAAGTAAAATCTTAACTGAAGATAATTAAAAAATGGTTGCTGCAGTGTATTGACAGAGAACTTTTAGAAATAAAAGCTGGATTCAGAAGAAGACATGGAATGAGGGATATCATTGCTGATGTCCAATGGATCTTGGCTCAAAGCAAAGAATACCAGAAAGATGTTTACTTATTGCCTATGCAAAAGCATTCAATTATATGGATCATAACAAATTATGGGTAACACTGAGAAGAATGGGAATTCCCAAACACTTGATTGTACTCATGAGGAACCTGTACATAGATCCAGAGGCTGCTGTTCAAACAGAACAAGGAGATACTGTTGTTGTTGTTGTTGTTATGTGCCATCGAGTCAGACCCGACTCATAGCGACCCCTCCTTGGGTTTCCGAGGCAGTATCACTACGGAAGTAGATTGCCTCATCTTCCTTTCGAGGAGTGGCTGGTGGGTTTGAACTGCCAGCCTTCTGGTTAGCAGTCAAGTGCCTTAGGCACTACGCTACCAGAGCTCCTAAGGAGATACTACATGGTTCAAAATCAAGAAGGGAGTGCGTCAGGGTTGTATCCTTTCACCATACTTATTCAACTTGTATGCTGAGCAAATAATCCAAGAAGCTGGACTATATGAAGAAAAACGTGGCATCAGGATTAGAGGAAGGCTCATTAACAACCTGCGATACGCAGATGACACAACTTTGCTTGCTGAAAGTGAGGATGACTTGAAGCACTTACTGATGAAGATTAAAGACTACAGTCTTCAGTATGGATTACAACCCATTACAAAGAAAACAAAAATCCTCACAACTGGACCAATAAGCAGCTTCACAGTGGATGGAGAAAAGACTGAAGTGTCAAGGATTTCATATTACTTAGTTCTACAATCACCATCAATGGAAGCAGTAGTCAAGACATCAGACGATGTATTTCATTGGGCAAATCTGCTGCAAAAGGCCTCTTTTCAAGTGATGAAGAGTGAAGATGTCTCATTGAAGACTAAGGTGCGCCTAACCCCAGCCATGGTATTTTCAGTCACTTCTTACGCATGTGAGAGCTGGACAATGAATAAGGAAGACTGAAGAAGAGTTGATGCTTTTTGAGTTATGGTTGGAGAAGAATGCTGAGAGTACCATGATCTGCTAAAAGAACTAACAAATCTATCCTGGAAGAAGTGCAGCTGGAATGCTCCTTGGAAGCGAGAATGGCCTGACTTCGTCTCACCTACTTTGATCATGTTGTCAGAAGGAACCATTCCCTGCAGAAGGGTATCATGCTTGGTAATATGGAGGGTCAACGAAGAAGGGGAAGGCCCTCAATGAGATGAACACAGTGGCTGCAACGATGGGCTCAGTTATAGCAAGGATTGTGAGGCTGGCACAAGACCAGGCTGTGTTTCATTCTGCTATTTATAGGATCACTGTGAGTCAGAGACAACTCGATGGTACCTAACAACAACAATATACAGACGAATAGCACAGAAGGAAAGATAGAAGACAAATGTAAAAAAACAAAAGTATACCAACTATATACGTGTATACAAAAGATTTAGACAGAATCATATAAAAACAGTAAAAGTAACTATTTTGTTGGAGTGGAGTTATGAGTCATCTTTATTTTCTTCTCTACAATTTTCTATACTGTCTGAATAGTTTTTCACAATGATCATGTATTATTTTGTTCATCAGAAAAAAAAATAGGCTATTTTAAATATCAACCAAAAAACACATTAAATAGTCTATTTTAATATGTTTTAAAAGTTAAGTTCTGGTATCAACTGGCACAACTTAATAACAATGAAC